TCTGCTGCACCACTCACCTGCTCTGCCGCACCACTCACCTGCTCTGCCGCACCACTCACCTGCTCTGCTGCACCACTCACCTGCTCTGCCGCACCACTCACCTGCTCTGCCGCACCACTCATCTGCTCTGCCGCACCACTCACCTGCTCTGCCGCACCACTCACCTGCTCTGCCGCACCACTCACCTGCTCTGCTGCACCACTCACCTGCTCTGCCGCACCACTCACCTGCTCTGCCGCACCACTCACCTGCTCTGCTGCACCACTCACCTGCTCTGCTGCACCACTCATCTGCTCTGCTGCACCACTCACCTGCTCTGCCGCACCACTCACCTGCTCTGCCGCACCACTCACCTGCTCTGCCGCACCACTCACCTGCTCTGCTGCACCACTCACCTGCTCTGCCGCACCACTCACCTGCTCTGCCGCACCACTCACCTGCTCTGCCGCACCACTCACCTGCTCTGCCGCACCACTCATCCTGCTCTGCCGCACCACTCACCTGCTCTGCCGCACCACTCACCTGCTCTGCCGCACCACTCACCTGCTCTGCCGCACCACTCACCTGCTCTGCCGCACCACTCACCTGCTCTGCCGCACCACTCACCTGCTCTGCCGCACCACTCACCTGCTCTGCCGCACCACTCACCTGCTCTGCCGCACCACTCACCTGCTCTGCCGCACCACTCACCTGCTCTGCCGCACCACTCACCTGCTCTGCCTGCACCACTCACCTTCTCTACCGCACCACTCACCTGCTCTGCCGCACCACTCACCTGCTCTGCCGCACCACTCACCTGCTCTGCCGCACCACTCACCTGCTCTGCCGCACCACTCACCTGCTCTGCTGCACCACTCACCTGCTCTGCTGCACCACTCACCTGCTCTGCCGCACCACTCACCTGCTCTGCCGCACCACTCACCTGCTCTGCTGCACCACTCGCCTGCTCTGCTGCACCACTCACCTGCTCTGCCGCACCACTCACCTGCTCTGCTGCACCACTCACCTGCTCTGCCGCACCACTCACCTGCTCTGCTGCACCACTCACCTGCTCTGCTGCACCACTCACCTGCTCTGCCGCACCACTCACCTGCTCTGCTGCACCACTCACCTGCTCTGCCGCACCACTCACCTGCTCTGCCGCACCACTCACCTGCTCTGCCGCACCACTCACCTGCTCTGCTACACCACCCACCTGCTCTGCCGCACCACTCACCTGCTCTGCCGCACCACTCACCTGCTCTGCCGCACCACTCACCTGCTCTGCCGCACCACTCACCTGCTCTGCCGCACCACTCACCTGCTCTGCTGCACCACTCACCTGCTCTGCCGCACCACTCACCTGCTCTGCCGCACCACTCACCTGCTCTGCTGCACCACTCACCTGCTCTGCCGCACCACTCACCTGCTCTGCCGCACCACTCACCTGCTCTGCCGCACCACTCACCTGCTCTGCCGCACCACTCACCTGCTCTGCCGCACCACTCACCTGCTCTGCCGCACCACTCACCTGCTCTGCTACACCACTCACCTGCTCTGCCGCACCACTCACCTGCTCTGCTGCACCACTCACCTGCTCTGCCGCACCACTCACCTGCTCTGCTGCACCACTCACCTGCTCTGCTGCACCACTCGCCTGCTCTGCTGCACCACTCGCCTGCTCTGCCGCACCACTCACCTGCTCTGTTGCACCACTCACCTGCTCCGGCGCACCACTCACCTGCTCTGCTGCACCACTCACCTGCTCTGCTGCACCACTCACCTGCTCTGCCGCACCACTCACCTGCTCTGCTGCACCACTCACCTGCTCTGCCGCACCACTCACCTGCTCTGCCGCACCACTCACCTGCTCTGCCGCACCACTCACCTGCTCTGCCGCACCACTCACCTGCTCTGCTGCAACACTCACCTGCTCTGCCGCACCACTCACCTGCTCTGCCGCACCACTCACCTGATCTGCCGCACCACTCACCTGCTCTGCCGCACCACTCACCTGCTCTGCCGCACCACTCACCTGCTCTGCCGCACCACTCACCTGCTCTGCCGCACCACTCACCTGCTCTGCTACACCACTCACCTGCTCTGCCGCACCACTCACCTGCTCTGCCGCACCACTCACCTGCTCTGCCGCACCACTCACCTGCTCTGCCGCACCACTCACCTGCTCTGCCGCACCACTCACCTGCTCTGCCGCACCACTCACCTGCTCTGCCTACACCACTCACCTGCTCTGCCGCACCACTCACCTGCTCTGCCGCACCACTCACCTGCTCTGCCGCACCACTCACCTGCTCTGCCGCACCACTCACCTGCTCTGCCGCACCACTCACCTGCTCTGCCGCACCACTCACCTGCTCTGCCGCACCACTCACCTGCTCTGCCGCACCACTCACCTGCTCTGCCGCACCACTCACCTGCTCTGCCGCACCACTCACCTGCTCTGCCGCACCACTCACCTGCTCTGCCGCACCACTCACCTGCTCTGCCGCACCACTCACCTGCTCTGCCGCACCACCCACCTGCTCTGCACCACTCACCTGCTCTGCTGCACCACTCACCTGCTCTGCCGCACCACTCACCTGCTCTGCCGCACCACTCACCTGCTCTGCCGCACCACTCACCTGCTCTGCCGCACCACTCACCTGCTCTGCCGCACCACTCACCTGCTCTGCCGCACCACTCACCTGCTCTGCCGCACCACTCACCTGCTCTGCAGCACCACTCACCTGCTCTGCCGCACCACTCACCTGCTCTGCCGCACCACTCACCTGCTCCGCCGCACCACTCACCTGCTCTGCCGCACCACTCACCTGCTCTGCCGCACCACTCACCTGCTCTGCCGCACCACTCACCTGCTCTGCTGCACCACTCACCTGCTCTGCCGCACCACTCACCTGCTCTGCCGCACCACTCACCTGCTCTGCCGCACCACTCACCTGCTCTGCCGCACCACTCACCTGCTCTGCCGCACCACCTACCTGCTCTGCCGCACCACTCACCTGCTCTGCCGCACCACTCACCTGCTCTGCCGCACCACTCACCTGCTCTGCTACACCACTCACTTGCCCTGCTCCCCCCGCTCACTTGCTCTGCTCCCCCACCCCAACTCCTCCCCTCCCCTTGCGCAGGTGCGAGTTTCTCCTGTCGCCAAGATGAAGATACTTTGCACAGGGAGCAGATGCGTTGCCAGCTGCTTGTGTGGCCGTCCCTCATCTTCCATGCGCGGTACATGAGAGAGAACAAGGGAGAGAAACAGAAGCAGGGGGAGGGAGCGCAGCGCCATGCCATGCCGCATGGCCCACCAAACCAGCCGCATGTGTGTTGTGAGTCGCCCCAGAGCATGCACTGTGAGTTTAGGTGCAAGGCGCCGCTGTTTCTGAGGATCCATCATCACCCCTCCCTCTCCCTCTAACTCCCCTTTCTCTGCTCGTCTTTCTCCCTCCCCTTGCCCCTGCTGTTCGCCCTCCCCTCGACATCCCACAGCCTTGGTTCGCGAGTGTGGACTCTGGGTGCAAGGCGCTGCTGTTCGTGAGAATGCTCAGTTCAATTTCCAATCACGTCTCCTCTCCCTCCGCTCCCTCTGAACCCGAAACCCTACAACCAGGCTACCCCTTCCAGCATGAGCCACTGCAGCACGTGGTGTTGATGGCGCATGGGGTGGGTCGGCCACCCCATGGACGCCGGCTCAGCCCTCCACACGGGCAGCTCAGCCCTCCACGCGGGCGGCTCAGCCCTCCACGTGGGCGGCTCAGCCCTCCACGCGGGCGGCTCAGCCCTCCGCGCGGGCGGCTCAGCCCTCCACGCGGGCGGCTCAGCCCTCCACGCGCCGCTGTCTAGCACCTCGCCTCCTCACCTCGCCGCCCCATGGTGAGAGAAGAACGGAAACAACGGCTCAAGAAACAACCAAAACAAGAACTAAGAACAGAAACAAGAACATACAAGAACTAAACATAGTATCATTCATATGATATCCTCAACCCCTCTTGAGACTTGTTACCCATCCCCTTGTCTCTCCCCTCTGTTTTGAGTCATGTGACCCATCCCCTCCTCTCTCTCCTTTGTTTTTAGTCATGTAACCCACCCCCTCAACTCCCCTCCCCTTCCCTCCCTCCCCCTGTTTCAGCAGCTGCCAGCGCAGCGTGTGGTGTGACGGATGGTGCAGCACGGAGTGGGGGTGCAGGGCATAATTTTGTGAGGTGTTTCACTCACCCCCTCCCCTCTGTCCTCCCTTTTCCAGCAGGTGCCAGTGCTGCGCATGTTGTTTTGCGGTGTGTCACACACCTCCTCCTCTCTGTCCTCCCCTTTCCAGCAGGTGCCAGTGCTGCGCATGTTGTTTTGCGGTGTGTCACACACCTCCTCCTCTCTGTCCTCCCCTTTCCAGCAGGTGCCAGTGCTGCGCATGCTGAGGTGTGTCACTCTTTCCTCCCCTTTCCAGCAGGTGGGAGTGCAGGGCATAATGTTTCGAGGTGTCTCACTCACCCCCTCCCCTCTGTCCACACGTTTGTTCGAAACAGTATTGAGATTCCAGAAAGTCCCCCTCACCTACCTACCCACTGTTCTTCCTCCCCTGTAGCCTCGCATACCTTCCTGGGCCCTGCAGCGCGCAGCATGTCACATGCAGTGATGGCGTCTGCTTGAGTCCGGATGTTGCAAGGGAGGGAAACGGAGGCCAGAAACAGGGGTTTTTTCTATTCAACCTGGGAGAAGGGCCCATATTAGTTAGACAGGCAGTTGGAGGGTGCATCACACATGGGGAGGGAGAGACGTTGAGTTGCTTCTGCCTCAAGGTAGTTCCCCGATGGACATTTTCGACATACGGTCGGCATACAGGATACGACAAGGCACGGCACGGCGCGACCCGGCACGGTGCGGCACCAGCACGACATGACACGAGAAATGCTTGAGAGATGACTTGGGAATCATAAACGGCAGCACTTGACACTCGTGGTGCTGGGGAGTAGGGTAGATCAGGTACCTCGGAAGCTGAGAATGATAGGGCTTTAAGACAAACACGCTAGAGCTTTGAAGATATTTACATGAGGCCTGTGAGAAATTCCCCGAGCCTGTGGTGGCTGCTCCTGCTGGCCGTCTAGCAGATCTACCTCCCCCAGGTCCGCCTTCCCCGGATGGCGCACACGCAGATGCGTGCGGATAAGCGGCGGAGAGAAGTCGGGGGAGGGGAGTGCGGAGAGGGCGGCGGAAGGCGTGGGCGCGCCGGGGGACGCCGCCTGCTGCTTCGCCGCGGACTCGCGCATGCTGCGCAGGCGAGAGCGGCGCGCCTCTGCGTCCTCCATGGCTACTCGGCGGGAGACAAGTACGGTCCGCGTCACGCGCTGTGGACGGAGAGCGCGCGCAGCGCGGGGAGGGACTAGGGACGGAAGGAACGCGGCGATAGAGCGGAAAGCTGAGGGAGACTATCTAAGTAAGGGCGATACCCGCGTCCGTTTTTACGCGATGTGGGCGGAGAGCGCGCGCAGCGGCTCTGCGTCCTCCATGATGCTTGACAAGAGAGCTTAGTACGGAAATCACTTGCTTGTAGTATAACATTATACCTACCAAGTTAATTCAACACAGGACCACTAGCATAACCCTCTCTCCGAAATATTGAAGCGTAACAGCTTGTGAGTTCGAATTCGCCTGGTCCTTTTCTTAGTGTTAATTGTGCTCAGGGAAGTGCCTCACCTGGCCAAAAACAGTTGAGTGTTTTCTTTTTACAGTACATTCAACTCAGCTCTCAGTTGTCAGCTGAGCATCAACTCCCTTATCCTGCAGCACCCCTACGCTGTCACCACTCACCAAGGCACTTTCACCATCTTGCAATCCATCTAAACCATCTACACCGCTTTCAACCGCTTGTGCACGTAACACAACAGGCGGGCTTATAATATCATCGCGGCTCTGAACGAGGCAGAGCTCCAGGCGCTTGGGAGTGGGGGGAGTGGGAGAGGACTCGGTGCCGTCCAGAGGTGGAGAGCGGTGCTGCAAGGTTCGTGCGAGCACAACCTGTAGGGAGAAAGAATGGGAGGAGAGGAGCAATCAGGTCAGGAAGGTTGCAATGCCACGGGTTGCCAATGCCAACTCTGCTCATATAGCTTGCCTCAAAGCCATGGACAGCCCAATGCCACTGCCAGCTCTGCTATTGAAACAGAAAAGCTAGACGAACATTGAAAACACAGCAGAGCATCAACAAACACAAGCACGAGGCGCAACAGCAGCTGCTCACCTGTAGGGATGCCACTGCTAGCTCCGCTGCTCTAGCCAAGTCGTGAGGATACTTCTGATGAAAGGAGGGAGAGAGGGAGGGAAGGAGGAAGGCAAAGAGGGAGAGAGGGAGGGAAGGAGGGAGGGAAAGAGGGAGAGAGGGGGGAAAGGAAAGTGTGTGAGGGAGAGAATGGGAGGAGAGGAGCTGAGAGAATGAGGAGCAGATTGAGTCAATGTAACCAGAAGAGTGAGATGTAACCAGCACTGTGAGATGTAACACTGTGAGATGTAACCAGCACTGTGAGATGTAACCAGCACAGTCAGATGTAACCATCACTGCACTGTGAGATGTAACCAGTACTGTCAGATGTAACCAGCACTGTGAGATGTAACCAGCACTGTGAGATGTAACCAGCACTGTGAGATGTAACCAGCACTGTGAGATGGAACCAGCACTGTGAGATGTAACCAGCACTGTGAGGTAACCACCACTGTGAAATGTAACCAGCACTGTGAGATGTAACCAGCACTGTGAGGTAACCAGCACTGTGAAATGTAACCAGCACTGTGAGATGCAGCACCATGCTGCAACTGCCCCGCTCACATGTGACCATCCAAGCAGCAATGCTGTCATCAAATCTCCTGTTCCCTGCATGTGGGATGGCATGGGGGATGGCATGTGGGTTCGAATATAGGACTGAGACGCAATGAGATGCTTGCCATGCGGCAACGGATTACATGAGACCATCCAAGCAGCAATGCTGCCACTAAATCCCCTTTTCCCTGCATGTGTGGCGTTGAAGTAGGATGGCATGGGGGATGGTATGGGGGAAGGCATGGGGGATGGTATGGGGGATGGGATATGTAAGGCGTGTCACATGGTATGTAAAACGGCATGAGGTATGGCATTTGAAAGGGCATGTGAGTTGGCAATTGGGAGTGGCGCGCACTTTGCTGCCTGACGTGGCGCACTCTGCTTAGTATTTTCAATAATGGGAGCGAGCGCTGTATGCAGGTGGGAGTGACGCGCGCTGCTCTGTGGGGTGGCGCGCACTACTCTCTGGTTGTGGGAAGCGCGGCTGCTGATGTGCGCGCCAGGACTCAAACAGATCTGATGGTGCGTAGAAGATTGGGTGATCATAGGCGGGTCCAGTGCGACCCGTCAACGGGTCGGTTTGACCCGACCCGACTGACATATGAATCTACGGGTCGCAAGTCGACTTGACCGGGTCCGGTCGGCCTGTCCTAGACCCGACCCGACGACCCAACCTGTCAGGTCAAAATGCCCATGTCTGATGTGGAATGGCATGTGAGGGGGCATGTGAAATGGCATGACAAGAGGCATGGTAAGTGTAAGAGAAATTGCATAGCCATGTGCGATGTGCTGTTTCGAAGCTACAGGTGATCATGCACCTGGAACCCACCGGTGAGCAGGTGCGTGTAGAAGAGCAGCCCATTGGCCTCCAGGCCCTCTATTAGCGCCCACAGCTGCTCTCCATCCAGAATCTGCCCCTTCCACGTGGGGTACCCTGCATGGGATTGATGGGGCATGGAGCGGGCAGGCAAGCAGGGAACAGAGGGATGACAGACATGGGTTACCCTGCACACACGGGATGCATGAACCTCAAGGCACTCGTGTCACAGAGTAGAGACAAGGGCCCCTCTTACCATTATATGCGCCAGTGCGGTTACCAACATTCACACCAGTGCAGTTGCCAACATTCGCACCAGTGTGGTTACCAACAGTCACACCAGTTTGGTTACCACCACCGGTGTGGTGACCACTATATGCACCAGTGCAGTTACCAACATGCACCAGTGCAGTTACCACCAACATGCACCGGTGCAGTTACCACCAACATGCACCAGTGCAGTTACCACCAACACGCACCGGTGCAGTTACCACCAACATGCACCGGTGCAGTTACCACCAACATGCACCAGTGCAGTTACCACCAACATGCACCGGTGCAGTTACCCACATGCACCGGTGCAGTTACCACCTACATGCACCGGTGACACAGCAGGGTGGGGAGGGCTTACCACTCTCACCAGTGTGGTTACCAAGTAACTAGCAGCATTGCACTAGTGTGGTTACCAGGTACCCAACACCATTGCGCCAGTACAGTTACCAAGTAACCAACAGCATCGTACCAGTGTGGTTGGAGAGCTGCACGGAGTTGAGGGGGGCCACATCAAAGCCCAGCAGCTGCAGGGTGGGGAGTGGTTACCACTCTCGCCAGTGTGCGGTTACCATGAAGCACCCATGTGGTTACCACTATGCACACCAACGCAGTTACCAACATTCTCGCCAGTGCGGTTGGAGAGCTGCACGGAGTTGAGGGGGGGCACATCGAAGCCCTGCAGCGTGGGGAGGGCTTACCATTCTCACCAATATGGTTACCAGGTAACCAACCAACAGCATCGCACCAGTGTGGTTGGAGAGCTGCACGGAGTTGATTGGGTCCACATCGAAGCCCAGCAGTTGCAGGGGGAAGACCGCCGCCTTGTTGCCCACATACCCCTGGTGCATTTACGCATAAGCGGTGGGGGAGAAGTCGGGGGAGGGGAGTGCGGAGAGGGCGGCGGAAGGCGTGGGCGCGCCGGGGGATGCCGCCTGCTGCTTCGCCGCGGACTCGCGCATGCCACGCAGGCGAGAGCGGCGCGCCTGAGTGCACGAGCACGTGAGCGCACGCAAGCACGGCGCAAGTGAGCGTGAGCGCATGGAAAGCACGGTGCACGGGCACGTGGGCGCACGGAAAGCAAAGCGCAGGATCGCGCGGGCGCACGGAAAGCAGGGTGCAGGAGCGCGTGAGCGCACAGAAAGGACGGCACACGTGCGTGTGGGTGCACGGAACGCACGGCGCAGGAGCGCGTGGGCGCACGTAAAGCAGGGCGCACGGGCGCGTGGACCCGTGAGCGACTCATAGCAGGCTGTTGCTATTGCATTGCGCCATGGCGTTGATGCGGCTGCCGCACACACGCCCCATTGCACGATCACGTCACACCTAGGGTTACACGGGCCCGATTGCACCGCGCTAAGGTGATAAGAGCGACTCGTGACAGCTGGAACGATGTGCGAGATACCTATCCGACGCTGCACTGATAGGCTAGTCAGGTCAGGGTGTGCGGGGATGGCGAGGAGGAGCCTTATCTCTGCCCACGCATTCTAACTAGAAGCGTCACCGTCTGAATCTAAACGAACAGCTAATTACGACCAACAGCTAAATACAATCCGAACGAACAGCTAATTAGAGTCCCACTCCCTTGGGGGAGTGTTCGATTTCTTCTGCTAGGTTTCAGCTTGACTCGATTAGCAAGGGTTCGAAGCGGTTGGAATGGGTGGTGTTCCCTTAGCAGGTGCTGTACTGAACAGTCAAGGGGATTAGGTGGGATGTGATGGGATGGAGAGTAGTGAAGCGACAAACTCTGCGTTGGGGGGTGGGAAGGGGGGGTGAAGAACTTGGTGCGTGCGACAGCGCGATATCGCAACTGTCGCGAGCGCGCTGCGTCAATCGCTCGTTGCAACCTACACCGAAGGTTACAGCCGAGTCACTCGCTCGCTGCAACTTCACAACGACGGGAACAGTATAACATCCCCGCCAAGAGCTGCAATTGCGCCTCGATACAGAACTGTACCCATTTCGCCATTCAACACAAAGGCATAAAATGATGCCTAGCATTTGCTAGCGTTTCAGGTGTGTTGCAAATTTATCTTTGGGACTCAGGGAGAACAAAAGTTACTGTCTGGCCTGTAATCAGGTTACAAAGCACAATCAAATTCGTTATTTTGGCCTAAAATAGGTCCACTATACAACGACTTTGATCGTCTTTTTAGCATTCACCCTTTCCTTGTTGTGGTTATCTCGGGCATTCCTGCACCCCCTAAACCTCCTTAACAACGGAGGCTCAACCCCCCTTCTCTTCCTTGCACCTCCATCACTCCCTCTATGTCGCTCGCTGCCCTTCGTGTCTCTCTCTTTCTATCCCAACCCAATGGTGGAAGTGAAGCTTGTCTCGCTCAGCATCCAACCGATCAATTTGTTGGCGTAACCACGGCGCAGAATGGCGAAAATCGGTCACACTTGACGATCAGTCGAGCAAGAGCGATTGTCCCCGGCGAGACGACATCAACGACTCTCTTTGCGCGGGCAGAGCAAAAGGTCGGCCGTACGAGTGTGTACGCGTTGGTGCATGTACGCTTATGTACATATGCGTTGCGTACGAGTGTGTACGGTAGGTAGACGCACTACGTGCATGAAGGCATACGTACGTATGTATACGTATGTCTACGCGCGTCTAGGTTAAGCAGGTAGGTACCGTACATGCGAGTATTCATGCGTATACGCATGCAGATGCGCACGTTCCTTAAGATTCAGCTCATTATTTCCAGAGCTAATTTGTCATTAATTTGTTGACCTACATGCATAAGCTCCAGATTACATGGACAGGTCTGTCAACTTACATGTGTAGCTTGTAAATCAACAAAAGCATTCTGTTTACTGTCATGTAGAAAGTTGTAGAGCTGCAAGTTACTGTTTTTGCAGTTCTCGTTTTAGGCAAGCTGACGAGCTAGACTCATTTGCGCTGCAACGTTGTTACTGTAAAAGCTGGCAGATTCTCTTTGGATCGCGCTCGCCGTGTCGGACTGCATATACGCAGGGCAGCAAGTCCCGCTTTGTCACTGCAAATGCATTTGCGCTGCCGACGCGGCACTGTGCTGAACGCTCCTTCGGTACATTCACTTTGCACCACGCACGTCGTGTCGTGCCAGGTCAGGGAAGAAAGCCGACTCGTACAGTAGAGTACCGGTGTGCACATACAGCCAAACACAACCACATATGAGAAACTGAATGAACAAGAATGTGTGAACTATGAATGAAGGCAGTACAAATATGAAACCCTAACTGGGTTGTACCCCCTATGGGATACCCCACTACAGCCTACACAATAGTATAAGCTATAGATATGTTCTGACACACCCCCATAGGCAAAGTGGGGGAGAACAAGGGGTCACAAGACCAGTCAAGCAAAGCAAAGCAAAGCAAGCTCGGGGTGGATCACAAAGTCACCACGCATTCCGAGCACAAGTTCAAAGGCCAGACGGCCAGTTCACATGCAAGATCATATATAGGGATATACAAGAGTCAAGCAAGCAAGAGCAAGAGTATATATAGGCGAAGGTACAAGCAAGGTCAAGAGGAGAGCAAGTGAGGCAAGACAGGCACAAGACCCAACTGCGTGCAACAACGCTGATGATCACAAGGCGCAAGTGCCTTGGTGAAGACATCAGCAGTGTTGGCCTCAGAGGCCACGTACGCAAGTCGCAACTGTCCACGCTGCTGTAGCTCACGAGCAAGAAAGTAGCGGAGAGCAATGTGCTTCGTTCTGTGCTCCAGTCGCTGCTCTCGACACAAGGCCAGCATGGCCTTGTTGTCTACGTACAGGACTGGAGGAGAACGAGGCTGCTCTCCAAGGTCGGTCAGCAGGTAGGTGAGCCAGCGTAACTCCTGCGCAGCCATAGCCCCAGCGTAGATCTCAGCCTCACAACTGGAGCCGAGAACAGAAGACGAGCGGGTAGCCCGCCACGAGACAGAGCCGGAACCAAGGCTGAAGGTGTAACCCTGTGACGACCGCTGCGTAGCCTGGTCGTCAGCCCAAGAAGCGTCTGCGTGCCCAGTGAGGACCACTGGACTGCGCCCTCCAAGCACTAGCCCCATGCCCGACGTACTGCACAAGTAACGCAACACCCTCTTCGCTGCAGCCATGTGCTCTGGTCGGTGTCTCCCAGGAGCAACAAAGCGTGCGAGAATGCTAAGAGGGTATGCGAGGTCAGGTCGTGTGCAGGTCATCAGGTACATGAGGCAGCCAACAAGCTCTGCAAACGGACCACTCGACTCTACGGACTCATCCGAAGGCAGAGCTGAGAGCGAGTGGCGAGTAGGCAGAGGAGTGGCCTGAGGCGAGGAGTACGTGAAGCCGAAGCGCTGAAGGACCTGCTGCACCATGTGTGACTGAGTCAGGGTAATGGTGCGGCGTGCTCTGTCCCGGGTGATCTGCAAGCCAAGGTAGCTACGCAGTTCACCCAGGTCAGTGCACGTGTGTCTCTTCTGCAGCTCGGACTTCACATAGGCGAGTCCAGCAGTGTCAGCTGTGGCAAAGACCAAGTCGTCGACGTACACGAGGATGTAGAACGGCGGCAGAGAGGTGTCGGTGCGCAGAAACAGCGACGGGTCGGCAGTAGAAGGAGCAAACCCAAGTGCCGCGAGCGTAGTCCTCAGTGTGTCGTGCCACTCACGTGGCGCCTGGCGGAGACCGTAGACTGGACGCCGGAGACTCCACTGGGTACCAGAAGGGAAAGACCCAGTGAAGCCAGGTGGGCGGCGCAGCCAGATCTCCTCGTGCAGGCTGCCCTGCAAGAAAGCTGTGCTGAAGTCGAGAGAGTGCAGCTCGTAGTCGCGGTGAGCAGCAACGTGCAGCAGAACCCGAAGAGTGGTCATCTTCGGGGTGGGGGAGAAGGTCTGAAAGTAGTCAACCCCCTGCCGCTGACTGAAGCCACGAGCCACGTAACGCGCCTTGAAGACAGGCGGAGAACCCGGCGGCCGCTTCACCCTGAAAATCCACATGCCACTGACGATGTTCGCCCCAGGAGGGGGAACAGCGTCAACGTAGGTGCCTGTGGACTTCCAGGAAGCCATCTCTGCATCCATAGCTGCCTGCCACTGAGAGGAGTAGGGACCCTCTATCGCCTCCGCGTAAGAGCGCGGAGTCGGGATGTCTGGTGCATCCGGGTCTCCCTCAGGGGCTAGCAGTACAGACGCGAGATGAGGTGAAGCAGCGGCTAGACACTGGAACTCCTCCTGCCTGTCCTCAAGGACGTCCGTGCCAAGGGCACACTCACCCCCGACGGACGGAGGACAGGCGGACTCAGACTCAGTGAGAAGACGAGCAGCGTAGTCTAGACGACAGCGCGCAGCAAAGTCGACAAGCTCAGTGACAAGGGCAGACGCAGCAGACGACTCGAAGGAAGGGTCAGTGACAGCAGTAGCAAGGAGACGCGTGACAGTAGGACTGGCAGCACGAAGAGAGTCCGACTCCGGGTCGGCAAGAGCAGGAAGAGAGGAAGCAGGAGGAGAAGGCAAAGGGGCACGCAGAGGAGCAGTGGACGGACGCAGTGACATCCGGTGCGTGCCAGGGACAGGAGGAGGACGCTGACGCGACCCGCGACCACTAGCGCGCTCAGTACGAACAGGCGACGCAGGACGAGACGCAGGCTCACGACGCTCAGTAAGACCTCCAGTCGGACCAGCGTAGGGAGAAGGAGCAGGCAAAGGGGAGGCATGCTGTAGCTGTGGCTGTGACCGGACAGGCTGCGGACCCTCTAAGGGAGGAGGAGGAGGAGGTGCAAGACCAAGAACCTGCTGCAGGAGCGGAACGAAGTACGGTCGGGGCCGCGCGGCGACGCCAGAAACAGCAGGAACAGCACCAGCAGGCCCGTCAGGAGCACCCACTCCAGCAGCACCTCCAGCAGAACCACCAGAAGCTCCAGAACCTCCAGCAGCAGCACCAGGAGTACTGTCAGTCGGACCTCCAACCGCAGGCTCAGCGCCAACACCCTCAGCAGTACCAGCTCCAGGAGAGCTCTCAGACCCAGCAGCTCCAGCACCCACAGTACGAGCACCGCCAGGACGCGTGGCAGCAGTACCCTCTGCAGCCGAAGAACCACCAGCACCAGCAGCACGCCTCCAGCGCCGGGCAAACCACTCACGCAGCTCCTGTGAGGAGAGTGGCTCCCGGCGAGACGAAGCACCCCCAGGCACAGCACCCCCAGGCTCAGCACCCCCAGGAACAGCACCCCCAGGCTCAGCACCCCCAGGCTCAGCACCCCCAGGCACAGCACCCCCAGGCGCAGCACCCCCAGGAACAGCACCCCCAGGCTCAGCACCCCCAGGCACAGCACCCCCAGGCTCGACACCTCCAGGCTCAGCACCCCCAGGCACAGCACCCCCAGGCTCAGCACCCCCAGACTCCGCACCCCCAGGCTCAGCTCCCGCAGCAGCACCAGAGTCACCAGTGACCTCGACAGGCTCAACCGCGTCTACCTGGGACACACCTGAAGGGGCAGGACCCCGAGGGGGGAGGGGGACTACCGGGGGGGGACCTGGTACCAAGAAGAGCGGGGGTGGGGGGAGGGACGGAGTGCGGTAGGGGAAGAGGCGGTAGTAGGGTACTGACTCGTCGAACGTGACGTCCTGGGAGGACAGAACACGTCGAGAGGTGGGGTGGTAAAACTGCCACCCAGGGGCGTCGGGGGGGGAACCCCAGGAAGACGCAGGGAGAAGCACGAGGGGACAGCTTGTCCGCAGACAGGTCGCGAACAAACGCCCGAGATCCCCAGACCCGGAACGCCGACGCATCGCCAACCTTCCCCGTCCACAGCAGAGCTGGGGAGGTCTCCGGTCGAGAGACCCTGGGGTGGAGGTTGATCTGGTGCGCAGCGTACCTGACCGCAAACGGCCACAGAAAATGGGGAGCAGCCGCATGCATCATGGACGTACGAGCGACGTCCATGACCATGCCAATGCGGCGCTCAGCAATCCCATTCTGCTGTGGTGAGTCCGGAAGCGTGAAGGTCTGACGGATGCCTCGCACACGACAGTAGGCACTCAGGAGGGCAGAGGAGAACTCTCCGCCTCTGTCCGAGTGTCAGAACTTGAGCTTAGAATCGATACTATAGTAGTGAGCTCAAAGCTCTTTAAGTACATCCGGAATGAGCAAGGTAGGGATGAGGAGGGAATCAGGAGGCAATCCTAGGGAATCAAGGGTAATCCCAAGGCAATCTCCAATTGGTGGGTTGGAGATTGCTTGGAGATTACATTTGGGTTTGGTTGGGATGTGGGTGTACACCCAACCAAACACAAAGTGCAAACTACACTAAACTAGGATATAAAAGTACAAGTACAAAATGTGAGATTGGGGCCTAACACCAACACCCCCCCTGAGGCGTCAATCGAACTTATGGCGGAGAAGGAGGAGCGCAGAGCCCCATGGCGCCAAGGAGACGATGGTGGGGAACCTTCCCAAGGGGCTTGGTGAACAGGTCAGCCAGGTTGCAGTCAGATGCCACGTATTCCACCTTCAGCTGCTCTTGTTGCACAAGGTGACGAATGAAGAAGTGCCGAAGTTCAATATGCTTGGTGCGGGTGTGATACACAGGGTCTTGAGAGATGTGGATGGTACTCTGGTTGTCACACCAGAGGGTGGGGGCTGACTGAGGGAAGCCAAGCTCTTGGAGTAGGAAGGTGAACCAACGGGCCTCCTGAGCAGCCATGGTGCCTGCGTAGAGCTCCGCCTCACAGGAGGAGAGGGAGACTGCAGACGACCTGGTGGAGCGCCAACTGACAGTTCCGCTCCCGAGGGTGAAGCAGTACCCCTGAGAGGAGCGCCGGTCGGTCTGGTCATCAGCCCAGGAGGAGTCTGTGTAACCTTCCAGGCGAGGAGGGGAGAGCCCACCGAGTGTGAGAACGTGGGACTTTGTGCCCTTAAGATAGCGCAGCACCCGCTTTGCTGCCTTCCAATGAAGATTAGTGAAGCGACCCGGGGCCACGTAACGAGAGAGAACATTGACTGGGTAGGCCAAGTCCGGTCGGGTGCACATCATGGCGTACATGAGGGACCCAACAAGTTCCGGGTATGGCTCAGAGCAGGCCTCTGGTGTGGGTACAGCAGGAGCTGTAAGGAGGTGTTGCAGCGGCAGCGGGGTGGCAACAGGTGTGCACAGCTCCATCTCAAACCGCTTGAGCACATTGTCGATGTAGAACTCCTGGGAGAGTGAGATGGTGCGAGCCTTGCGATCACGAGTGATCTCCATTCCCAGGTAGTGCTTGAGGTCACCAAGGTCTTTCATCTGGAGGGCCTTGCTCAGGGCTGCCTGGACAGAGGTCATTTGGGCCGAGTCCTTGGCAACGAGGATAAAATCATCCACGTAGACTAGGATGTAGAATGGCTCAGAATGACGACGGATGAAGAGAGTCGGGTCAGCAGTTGAGGGGTGGAAGTCCAGGGAGAGGAGGACTTCTTTCACCTTGTTGTGCCATTCGCGAGGGGCTTGTTTAAGGCCGTAGACGGGGCGATTCAGCTTCCAGACTGTGTTGGGAGGGAATTCTCCTGGGAAGCCTTCTGGTCTGTCCATGAACACTGTCTCCTTGAGACGTCCTTGTAGGAAAGCGGAGGAGGCATCCATGGATTTGATCTCAAAGTCTTCTCGAGCTGCAACATCCATGAGCGTTCGAATGGTGGGAGGTTTGGATGTGGGGGAGAAGATTAGGTCGAAGTCGCGGTACCGCTGCTGGGTGAAGCCCTTGGCTACGTAACGCGCTTTGAACACCGGTGCCTCGTCTGGGAGCTGTTTTACACGGAACAACCACTTGCCCCCGACGATGTTGACTCCTGGAGGTGGAGTCTCGTCATCGAAAGAGTGGTTGCGAGTGAATGCTGCAATCTCCGCGTCCATGGCAGCACGCCATTCGGCAGCATGAGGGCCTGAGAGAGCCTCTTGGACGGTGAGAGGGATAGGGATGGTCGGGTTCTCCGCGAGGTTGAGGGAGGGTGAGCCAGTGATATCGGGGAAGATGTGTGAGAGCTGAGGAATGACTGCATGGAGATCACACAGCTCCTCATGCCTGTCTTCTAGAAGGGTAGAGGGCACATCCCCCCCAGCAGGAGGAGGCGGTGTGATCATTGTGTATCGAAGAACCATTGCGAGTGGAAGAGCAGCGCGATGGGAGCGGGTGCCATGAGCCACCGGTGAGGAGGGCGGGGCAGGCGGTGTCGGAGAGGGTGACTTAGGAGGCTTGGGTGGGGGAATGGGCCGCCGGCGGTACGTGATCAGCTCGGGCGACTGTGGGAGAGCGGGTTCCTCTGTGGTGGGGGGAACTGGGGGAGGAGGTGGGGCCGGAGGGTGGGACCGCCGATGGTAGGTGATAGGTGCGCTCGGAGGGGGCGGCGCAGCGGGAAGTGAGGAAGGTGAGGGGGGGGGGCGGAGCAGCCGCCGAAGACACCGGTGAGGCCGGGTCAGAGACCTCAGAGGGAGATGGTGGGATGGCAGGAGAGGGAGGAGGTGAGGGGGCAGGAGCAGGCGGGAGGTCGGGAGGCGCGTCAAAGTCTGCCCACACGAGGGAGGGTGGATCAGGGAGAGGGTCCCGTCCCGAAGGGGAGTAGAATGGGCGGGTCTCATCAAAGACAACGTCGCGGCTCCTGACCAACTGTTGAGTGGAGGGATTGAGGAAGAGGTAGTCAGGTGAGTCGGCGTTGTGCCCAAGGTAGATGCACGTTTGAGTCTTGGGACCGAGCTTGCCACCGTTCTGGCGTCGAGCCTGAGGGTTGAGGAGGACATAGGCGGTGCATCCCCAAACGCGAAGAGAGCGAGCAGTGGGCGTTTTCCCGAGCCAGAGTGTGGTTGGAGTGGTGTCGGGAAGGTGCGGATGGGGGTAAAGGTTGTAGAGGAGGGCGGCGTGGTAGAGAGCGTATCCCCAGAGAGAGTGTGGAGCGTTGGAGTGGCTGAGGAGGCACCGAGTGATCTGCACTAGAGTGTGGTTGCGGCTCTCAGCTATGCCGTTCTGTTGAGGGCTGTCAGGGAGGGTGAAGTTTTGCTGGATGCCTTCGGAGGAGCAGAAGGCTTTAAGCTTGTCGTTGCAAAATTCACCCCCCCCATCCGAGTGAAGGCGCTTGACCTTGAGGTCAAAGGTGGTCTGTGCCTGCTTGACCCACGCCATGATGACCTCTGGAGCCTCAGCCTTAGTGTGGAGGAGGTGAACAGAGACGTATCGTGAGTGGTCATCCACGATAACTAGGAAGTAGCGATATCCACCTCGTGCAAGAACAGGGGCAGGGCCCCAGACGTCCATGTGCACTAGGTCCAGTGGTGCCGCTGCGATTGTGGGTGAGGCAGTGTGGGGCTGTTGGCGCAGTTTGCTCTTGGTGCAATCAAGGCACGTGGGAGCGGGTGAGTCAGGTGGTGGAGGAAGTGTGGCTGGCAGGCCGAGAAGAAGTTTCTTGGAGGCCATGTCAGCAAGCGTGCGGAAGTTTGGGTGCCCTAACCGATGATGATAGAGGATGGTCGGGTTGGAGAGGCTGCGACATGTGCATGGTGTGATGGGAGCCTGTGCTTGGGTGGTTGAAACCTGTGGGAGAGGAACGCGTAGCGTGTAGAGGCCGCTGCTATTGAGGGTGAAGCGGGCCAAGACCTTGTTGGTGAGTGGGTCAATGATGTCGCAGTGGTCCTCATTCTCCGAGAAGATGGTGCGTAGCCCTGCTTTCTGAATTTCTGTTTGAGCCACTAGATTGTGGCGTAGTGAAGGCACGCACATGCCAGTGACGGTGCCGGAAGGGAAGGCTGGGCATGGGACTGTGGAGGTGCCCTTGGCTAGGGTGGTGAAGCTGGAGTCAGCTCCCAAGAGAGGGATAGGTGCTGGATAGGGTTTGAAGGAGAGTGTCTCCTTGAGCACAGTGTGAGTGGCCCCACTGTCGAGTGTGAACTCTATGTACTGTGGTGCCTGTGATGAGTCGATGTACTGGGAAGTGGCTTCATTAATCATGGCAGTGCCAGGAAACAACAGGTTGATACGCACATCAACAGGAGCACTGTCACTAGCACTAGCCGAAGAGGGGTCCTGGACCTCAACGAGATTGGCCTTACGAGCGCGCATCCAGTTTGGCGGCTTCTTGTCAACCCCGTGGATGGCATACCACTCGTCGTCTTTCTTCTTGAAGCACGTGGCAAGGGGGTGGTTAGTGCCACCACACACTTGTCCCTTGCGGTTGCCATACTTGACGACGTAGGTGCACGGAGGAAAGCGGTTGCGCTGGAAAGGCGCCGAGGCAAGGGCTGCTGCAACACTTGCTAGGGGCATGGGAGCACGGATGGCGTATGCCTTGGCCTGAGCAGTGGAGTCTTTCTCGGCAGAGAGGAGTGCGGTGGAGACCTTAGCAAAGGTGAGGTCTTCCGCTGAGAGCGTGAGGAGCATCTTCCTCGTCACTTCATATGCCGAGGAGAGACCAACAAGAAGGGCGGCTGCAGGGGCTTGTTCGGGGAAGACTATACCCAGCTCCTTGAGTTCACCATGAATGGTCTGCACCTTGGCGATGTAATCAGCCATTCCTGAGCAGTCCTCAAGGCGGACTTGAAACATGCTGGGGATGAGAATCGCCACTCCGACCGCCGTCTTGTTCATGAACCGATCCTGGAGATACTTCCAGATGGCGTTGGAGGTAGGGTAGTTGTGGAACGTGTTGACAAGTTCGGGAGGGGTGGAGGCAATGAAGACGCTGATGATGGCAGCATCGGCCTTCTCCCACTTCCGGTACTTCTCAACAGCTTCTTCGTACGTCATCACGTCAGCATCACTTGAAGATTCGGTCGGTTCACGGGGAAGAGTGGGCTGTTTCCCCTTGCCACGGTTGAGGAGGACGTCCTTGAGGTCAAGGCCCTGCACGTCACGGCTCAGGAGGTGCTTGTCAACTCCGTAGCTCCACGCCTTGAAGTTGGAGCTAGAGCCATCGGCTTCAAGGCGGAGCGG